AGTAGCTAGGCTTACAGGCATGAGCCACGGGTGTCTCACGGCCAGACTGTTCTTTATCATGCTTCAGGACTCTGAGTCACAGCCCAGAGGCAATCTTGTCCTGGAAACACACACAGGGAGCCAGAGACATCTCTTTCCCTCTCCCTCTCGGTGCCCCTTGCTGAACTGTGACGTGCAACTGAGCGGGTGAGGCCTATGGATGGGGTGAGGAGTGAGGGATCAGCCGAGCAGAGCAGGCAAGTGGATGATAAGAAGGTGTCACCATGTTTGAGGAGAATCAGATAACAGGGCTGAGAGACAAAGTGTGGGGAAGGTCCTATTTCCTTCTTCCCTCCTCAGGAGAATTGTATGCTATAGATATGAAGGAATCAGATATGGAGGAATCAGGCCAAGAGGAAGTGTACTAGTAAAGCCCCTACCTTGAATACAAACTTTCATCAAGAGGCCTCCATGTCTTGCGTACAAGACTGTCTTAAGAGGCCCTTGTTTGGGTGCAGATTATGTGTACCCTGTGATGTGGAGACAGACACTCCCAGCTACTGTTGATATCCTCCTTCTCTTGTATGGGCTAGGCCTGCCCTGGGGTAAGTGGGGCCCTGTCAGGATGTTCCCAGGGTTCTGAGGAGTAAGTGGGGCTCCCATGGGGAGGGTAGCAGGGCCAGGCCCCATGACTTACAAAGCCTCATCCTTCAGAAGGAAGCTCTGGTTCTTAAACTAATAAACCAAGAAGACTCACACGTGGGAAAGTCTAGCCTGGGTTTTATTCTGTCTCTATTTTGTAGGCCCCAGAGTGAAGGCCCCAGGAGGCAATGTTGAAGCAAGGGTCACATGGGAAGCTTGGTTGGCCCCCACCCAGGGTCAGAGGCTCTAGTCTTTGCTCATCTGCTCTAGGTTCCTCAATCTTTGGCACCAGAATAGAAGATGAGACTCTGTCTCTCAAGACATGTAAAGACATAACTGTGGTTCTCAGATGGGACATGGAACCCTCACCTTTCCCTAGATCCTTTCCAGACTGTTCTTTATCTACTTGAACCCAGGTAAGTGGAGTTCACTCTCTCCTCCCACCATGACCATCTTTACCGGATGGACAGTTTCATGGTCACTGAGCCCTCCAATCCCATTCCTCACACAGCTGTACAGACACAGCGATAGATGCCCTTAGTGGGTACTGGATTTCCCCAGATGGGGTACTATAGACCCTAAAGAGTCCTTCTATGGACAAAAGGAAGATGAGCTACAAAACTGGGTCAGAGGATGGATGTCTATACTGGCAACAAAACAAAGTTAAGCTCCTTGAACCAGATGCTTAGAACTCTGGTGGATAGAGAATGATGTTATGGCCAGCTGGACAGACTGAACAAACTGAGGATGAATGTCACAGAGGCAAGGTTTGGGGGGTGTGTGTCCTGAACTTAATTAAAAAAATGCTTCGGGAAATGTAGAGTGGAACAGGAACTTGGAGCATCTGTCAGTTCATGGACTGGAAAATGGACATTCCATACTACCTTGCAGCTGGCTTACATTTCTCCTAGGGTGGAGGGAACACAAGGGTTGTCTGCCTTTGGAGATTAAGCTTAGAGGACAATGGCTTCCTTGGGTCAATGGAAGGACGTTCTTCTATCTAGAGGGAAGGACTTTCAGAAAGGTGTTTCATCTGATAACTTTTGCCTCAAACCCTAGCTTTTCTACGAACCAGCTGTGTGACTTAGGAGTCTATTAACCACTCAGAAGCCAAAAATCTTCGATCCCTTAGGTGACAATATGAGCAAACCCACAAGACCCTTAGGAAATCCATTATTCAGAATGTGATAAATTCCTACAAAGGTGCTCTATTTGGTGCTAGGAAAATACTATAACAACTGAATGGCAGATCCTCATCTAGACCTTGCTAAACATTCTGTACATTGGGTAGCTGCCTCTCACAGGTCTCGTTTATGCCCTCCAGAGTCGCAGCCCCATGGAACCTGGAGATGGATCCGGATCCTGCATTGCCTGCTCTCAATCAGACTTCGCTGCTCTCTGGGCCTGGGCCCTTTGTCCTGCTAGGGGTGCCAGGCTTGAAGGCCCTACATTCTTGGCTTTCTGTGCCTGTCTGCCTGCTCTACGTGGTGGCTTTGGTGGGGAATACCCTTCTACTTGGGCTGATTGCAGCTGACAAAGCCCTTCGATCTCCCATGTACCAGTTTCTGGGGCTCCTGGCGGTGGCTGACTTGATTCTGGCCACATCTACCGTGCCCAAAGCTCTGGCTGTGCTGTGGGGTTTGTCCGATGAGATTTCCTTTAGGGCTTGTCTAGCCCAGCTCTTCGTTGCCCACGTGGCTTTCATTGCTGAGTCGTCCGTGCTGCTGGCCATGGCGGTGGACCGCTACGTGGCCATCTGCCAGCCTCTGCGCTATGGGGCCTTGCTGACACAACGCGTGGTGGGTATTGTGGCTGCAGCCGCTGTGATTCGAGGTGTCTGTGTTATGACACCCCCGGTGGTCCTGCTCCAGAGACTGCCTTACTGTGGGCAGAGGGCCTTGCCCCACACCTACTGTGAGCACATGGGCGTGGCTCGCCTGGCGTGTGGGGACACACGCCCCAACATCTGGTACGGCCTAGCCACCACGCTGCTCTCCCCAGCCCTGGACCTGGTGCTCATAGGCGCTTCCTATGTCCTCATTCTCCTCGCTGTGTGCCGTCTGCCATCCCCTGGTGCCCGCCACAAGGCCCTGGGCACCTGCGGGGCGCACGCCGGTGTCATTGCGCTCTTCTACACACCTGCGCTCTTCTCTTTCCTGGCTCATCGTTTCGGCCGCCACACGGTACCCATCCACATCCACATCCTGTTGGCAAACCTCTACGTGGTGGTCCCCCCAGCCCTCAATCCCGTGGTCTATGGAGTACGGACCCAGCAGATCGCTCAGAGGCTTCAGCACTTGCTTCGGCTCATCTGGGCAGGGGCGGGGAGGAAGGTGGACTCCCAGAGGGTCTCTTCACACAAATGAAGGCACTGTTTTCTCCCGCCAAGGGTTGCTACTACTGGGTTCATCTGGGTAGAATGCTGACCAAGGCATCTCCATCTTCTCCTGCCGGGTGGTGCTTATATGGTCACCCCGACTCATTGAAGGTAGTAGGGCAGAGTGAGTTCTTAACCCTGCCCGCTTCTTTCTGCACAGTCGACTCTGGCTTCCATGCAAAGTCACACAAATTCAGGAAGTTGCACTTGGACTATGACAATCAGGAGGCCCAGGATGCATTCTGGAGGCTAAGATCTCGTCTTTCCCCATCATTCCACCCAGACAGAGCCAGACTAGTAAAGGTAGCCCTGTGTGGGGCGTTTTGCATGATGTCTGACACTAAGCAGGAACTCCATGTTTACTCAAAAGGTTAAGACAGGACAGTGTGGGACATGGTATAATGTGAATTAAACAACAACAAACCAGCTCTGGAAACTGACTTGGTTTCTGACCTTGGGTGATTTATATTTGGGGCTCTGGATACCTGGGAAGGAATTGGACAATACTGTGATTGCCCACTGGTGCTGTTTCCCATATGTATTTGGTCAGATGTTGAGGCTTCTTCTGCTTTTCTACCTTGTGCCTGCCATTGGCTAGCAGGTTCAAATAGGGAAGATAATTCAACACTACTTGTCATGTTGCCTGCCCTATTCTCTCACTGGTCTGACCCCTTCTCCACAAAGTACTGTAGATTTGCTGACATCCACCTGGACAGTGATTCCAGATGTTTCCCTAATCTGTGCACCTGAGGTTTCCCAACCAGCTTCTCTAGGCTCCTTCTCTGCATCCTGCGATTATAACAAGACCAGGCTACAAGAGTTAGTGGAAGAGTCCGTGGTCTCTGGCCATGGGCAAGATATTGGGATAAAATCTTATGGATTTTACCCATCAAAGGGTAATGGATCCCCAAAAGAGTCCTAGGTATATCTTTTTGGAGACTTGTATTCACCTAAGCTCTTGCTAGAAGTGGAAGTGGAAAATCCATGCCTTTCTTTCCCAATACATTTCAGGGAATAGCCACCACTCCCTCCAAAAAAATGAGACAAGTAAGCAGAAGACCTTTACACTAAATGGCCACAGTATCTTAAGTCAGGGACACCAGGAGATGTAGGGAAGTAACAGAGTATTGATGGTAGTGCTACAGAGACCAAACAGCACAAAAATGACATGACATACTTTTAATAGGAAATGGATGATACACATGTTCACAGGACATGTGATATTCCCCATGCACTTAGGTAGAAGTGTGACTTCTCACCGCTTGGTACTCAAATGAGATGGCAGAGGAGGAGAGAATAATTTAGGGCAGTCAGAACTAAGAACACTGGACAGCCAGTGAGCTTTGGTCTAGGCCTCAGAACACAAACTCTTGAGTCCAGAGACATGATAGTTTCCTGTGGCAGACTATAAACTATTGGATGGGGGCTTGGAGAACAAGTAGTGGAGGTTGTGAGCATCTAGATTAGGGTAGTTTGGGAAGCATTTGGGCAACCGGATAGAGTACTGACAGAGCAATCCAGTATAGTATTGCTGGGGCAGGTCCCCAGCTATATGCCGTGGCCCTTATCCAAAAACACACAGTTAAGCTTCTGTCCTCTAAGTTACCAGAGCAGGTAAGATTGCATTTCCTTCTCAAATCTTCCTTCCCTTAAAGTCAAATGAAAACTCCTAATCCCTTTTGACTAGAATCCACCCCAAAGGGTCTCAGGTTTGCTTTAATCTGTTTGCATAGGAGGGCCTGGCAAGCTGGAACAGGGGCCTGGGAATGGCTGAGGATGACCCTGTTTTTGTAGTGATCAAGCGACATCAAGTCAGGTTTGGAGGCACCAGCTTGTCATAATCCTCTTCACTTCTCCAGACCCTCCCCACGTCTCAGGTTCTCAGCTCTTTCAGATGTTGAAATCAGTGTCCCCTCCTACAGAGAAGATTAAAACATTTGCAGTAGAGATAAAAGCCCAGAGGACCCTCAAGGGCTTATTCTACTCTTGAAGCTGGGACAAGATGCAGCCTTCTTCAACTCTTCTGGTCAAGCTACTGTGGCTGCCCTTGGTGCTCCCAGGCCAGCCTCAGGTACAGGCAGAGGGTAGAGGGATTGCTATCAGGTTGGGAAGATGGTTCTGCTGCCTTCCTTCTCCATTCTGATCCTGTTCAAGTAATTCCAGGCCCTTGGAGAGAATAATAGTAGAGAGAATAAGAGGAGGAAGGAAGACAGGAAAGCATTTTTCTCTGATAGTTCTCTTGACTGCCAGAGAGAGAAGTAATTGCTCTGGGTTACACACCTTGCTCATTTAGGAAGCTGTATTTTCTGCCACATTCTTTCCAGGGTAAGAATACTGGAGCTGAGGGTGGCCAGCCCAAGGCATTATACACTATAGAATTTTTACTTCACTTTCCACCCAATTCTAAACTACTGAGGTTTCAGGTGAAAGACATATTCAGAGTAATTTATGTATGCCAGGGCCAGAGAAGCTATAGAAGTGGGAGAAGAGAATTTCTCAGAGAAGTACAGAGGCCATGTAATGAATTCCTGACATTTTATTTTGTTGTTGTTAGTCGTGGGGCCTGAACTCTGGGCCTGAGCCCTGTCCCTCAGCTCTTCAGTTCAAGGCTAGCGCTCTACCATTTGAGCCACAACACCACTTCTGACTTTTTCTGTTTATGTGGTGCTGAGGAATCAAACCCAGGGCGTCATGCATGCAAGGCAAGCACTCTACCACTGAGCCACCTTCCCAGCCCCTCCTGACAATTTTATATGGACTTCCATATACTTCCAAAATGGGAGTATAGAATAGACTTAGAATATTGTAATTAATAGGTGACTTTATCATAGGCAAGCAGCCACAATTCCAAGTACTTTATGAATTTATGAATATTTTTCTTCCCTCCCTCCCTCTTTTCCTCCTTCCTTCCTTCCTTCCCTCCCTCCTTCCCTCCCTCCCTCCCTCCCGCCCGCCCGCCCGCCTTCCTTCGCTCGTTCGTTCGTTCCTTCCTTCTTTCCTTCCTTCCTTCTCCCCCTCTCTTCCTCTCCCTCTTCTTTTCTTTTTTCTTCTCTTTCTCCCTCTTACTTTCCCTTACCTCCTCTTTCTTTCTCAAAGTAAAACAATAAGGCCATGATTTCCACCAGTATTTATCTGAAAACACAGGGCACAGAAAGATGAATCTGTGCAATGTCTGGAAACAAAACTAGGTTGCTTGCTGGTGGCTCATACCTGTAATACTACTTCAGGTATCCGAGATCCGAGGACCACATTTTAAAGCCAGCCCAGGCAGAAAAGTCAACAAGACTTTTTTTTTTTTTTTTAACGGTCCTGGGGCTTGAACTCTGGGCCTGGGTGTTGTCCTTCAGGTCTTCAGTTCAGGGCTAGAACTGTACCACTTGAGCCACAGTACCACTTCTGGTTTTCTGAGTGGTTTATTGGAGATAAGAGTGTCACAGCCTTTCCTGCCTGGGCTGGCTTTGAACCCTGATACTTAGATCTCAGCCTCCTGAGTAGCTAGGATTACAGGTGTGAGCCACAGATGCCCAGCTCAACAAGACTTTTATCTCCAGTTAAAACTAGCAAAATGCTGGAAGTAGTGATATAGCTCAGGTATCAGCCTTGAGTAGAAAAGCTAAGGAACAACACCCAAGCCCTGAGTACAAACCACAGTACCAGCATCCCCCCCCCAAAAAATAACAAATTATGTATTACAACTCACCTTATGCCATGTTGTTTTATGGATGTTAAGTATTAACTTCGAGTATGACATGTCATTATGTTGTCACAGTTCCTTGGCCTTCTGATTAGGAACTCTGTCTACCTACTTCCTTCAGGTTCAGATGGATTTGTAGGAATCTGCTCAATTCTGAGAGTGAGGACATCCTAGAGAAGTAAAGGCATGTCCCCAAATGCTTGTAAGCAGGCCAGCTTTGCTTTCTTCTGCAGAACCTGAAGGAAAAGTTGGCTTTCACAATGTGAACTACAACTAGATCAATGCATGAAGTTAGGTGAGGGTAGCCCAGCCAATAGGAGCCAGAGAGAGAGACAGAAGCTTCCATTCTGGGAAATTCCAAGGAAAGTAACTCAAACCCTTAACATAGGGAAAAGTAGCTCAAGCTCCTGTGAAATAAAAGAACTCTTCTCTCGTACTGCAGAGCAGGGTCAGCCTCTTCTTCTGCCTCATGTTTGCAAATAGCATGTTGTGGTCCATCAGGTATCTTTATATCTTAGTGTACCTATGGTCATGCTTTTGCAGCTGGTGAGAAGTATGTCAAACTTGGTGGATGAGAGTGGCACATGCCACTGTGTGGTCTTCCTGCCCAACAATTCCACCCTACTGCAGCAGTTGGAACAGCTGCAAAATGCAGTGCAGAAGCTTGCAGGCAAGTATGAGCAACTGATGTCCAGGGTAAGTGTTGGAGCTGTGGGCTGTGTTGGGGGATGGGGCCAGGTATTAGCTTAGCACAGCTCTGATCAGATCTAGCATGGAAACAAGTCCCGTTAGTAGAGCAGAAGCTAAAAGAAGCACTTCCTTTATCTTTGAGATGAATCCTTAGGATGGGGTGGTGGGGTGAAATTAGGTACTACTTTTGGGATCCCCAATGGTAGTAGCAGTAAAAAAAGAATTATGACTGCTAGGGATGCTTTGTATAATTAAGGGTATGAATCCAATGGGAGATTAAAAGACGTGGTAAGGGATTTAGGCATAAATATAAATTAATCAAAGACTGGAAAGTGATAATTGAAGGAAAGGTGACTGGAATGTGTCTGAATTGAAGAGCTAAAATCAGTTACAACAGCAATACTCACTAGACACTACACTGGAAACGAACCTTACAACTTGCCGGGGGAGGAGGCTGGGGGAAAGAGAGAAAACAAGGGAGGGGGTAACACTGTTTGAAAAAATATACTCATTACCTTGCTGTAACTATAACCCCTCTGTACATAATCTTTAAAATAAAATAAAACTTAAAAAAACCCAGTGCATTAGCCAGGCACCAGTGTCTCACGCCTGTAATCCTAGCTACTCAGGAGGCTGAGATCTGAAGATCACGGCTTGAAGCCAACAGGAGCAGAAAAGTCCCTGTGATCTTATCTCCAAAACCATTAAATAACCACGAGTGGCACTGTGGCTCAAGTGTGGGGTGCTAGCTAGCCTCGAGCACAAAGAGGCTCAGGGACAGTGCCCGGGCTATAAGTTTAAGCCCCACAACTGACAAAAAAAAATCAGTGCATTGAGTGGAAGGGTGGGTGGGTATATCTCCACTTGTTGAGTTGCCTGAAGAAATTTGATGGCTTGTAGTCATTTATTCTCCCAGTCTGGAGAAAAAGAGAGCTCCAACTAGACAAGGGGAAAGAGGCTATAAATATTTGTAAAGAGATGGTATGAGTGTTAGATATTTTTTTTTCTTTAGTGAAAAGAAAGACATATATATATATAGCTTGTGATGAAATGGGAACTCACCTCAAGGGCCATTAGAAAGAAAGATGAAATGATGGGTATAAGAGTGCTTTGTAACCTGTGTGGTCTTGGGAGGGTATGAATGGATGGAAAGAGCCACGAGACTTTGTGGTGGAGGACTGTCTGTCCATCCCCCCCACTCCCAGGCCAATGACTATGCACGTGCCATTGAAGAACAAGACAACCAGGTCCTAGAAATGAACCACATCCCGGAGTTCAGAAATCCTAGCACGGTTGCTTCTCACGACGAGAGTCCAGCCTTCAACCTGCTACGTGTGGAGCTGGAAGGAGTACAGCATTTGGCAAGCCAGCTTAACGTCAAGGGAGGAGTTAGTGGGGCTGCGGACCTTCTCCACCAACTCCAAGGAAAGGTACACGGATAGATGAAAGAACCCTCTGTCTTCTGTCCTAGCCAACCTCACGTAGTTGATACACTCCCAAATCACTTCTTCAGGTAGAAGACGATCCTGAACGAAGAAATCAAACACCAGAGATCAGTTCTTGAGAATATTCTAGCACCCTCATCTCACCCATAGCTCTTTTTCCTTAGGTGACAAATGCCAGTCTCACCCTGAAGCTCCTGGCTGACACTGAGCAGCGTAGCTTCAATGCTCTCCAGCAGGAGGTGGATGTCCTGGAGGGCCAGCTAAGCCAGTGTGAGAGGGAAAAGGAGCAGGACCAGGCCTCCAGAGACTCTGGCCTTCCCCTAGCACCAGGTGAAGTCACAGACTGTATTTCCCCACTACCTGGGTGGGTGCAGAATGGGCCATAGCCTCCTGAGAGGGGAGTAAAGGTCTTGGGTGGGGGAAGGGGGAAGGGATTCATCTTGAATTTCTTTAGCTTTTGTGTCACTAAGAAATACACACCCCAGCTGTCATAGTCTCACATATAGACGTAGGAACATTTCATACACATGGACACTAATCTCTGTGCATGCACCTTGTTTGTATATTGTTGTATGTGCTCATGGACATGGACATCTCTCTAACATACCTTATTGGACTTCATACTCTGCTCTCTGTGACTTGTATGCTTTGCAACATGCTCAGACCTTGCCTGTTCTCCCCTGAAGGTTCTTGTGCCCATGGAGGACTCCAGAAAGTTAGCAGACCCTTTGTGTTGAACCTCAATTGGAGGGGCATTTCCTACAAGGCAGGTGCCTGGGGCCGAGACTCAGCGCCCAAACCAGCCTCTTCTCTTTACTGGGTAGCCCCTCTCCGTGCAGATGGCAGGTGAGTCCCAGATGTCTTTTTATCTATATCCAGATTCATTCTACATGTGCCCTCCCTTAGTCCAGCCATTTTCTTTGTAGCACCAACCCAGGTTCCTCTTCCCATTTTATGCATGTTCCCAAGGCCAATCTAACCTGTAGCTAATAGGTCTCTTCCTAACATTCTTCTAATGGGATCTGCATGACCTAGATGCCCCCGAGTTCCTCCAAAATCTAATGCTTGAAAAATTTAATTATTATGAGCAAGGTCATGGTTCTGTTTCTAGTTTAATCCTATCTCAAGGACAAACTTTTCCACGGAATCGCCTAACTTCCTACTGAGAAGATGTTTAGAGAATGATCCTAGCTCAGTTTGAGACTTGGAGTTAAGTTGATTTAAGTTTGAGTCTCACTTAAGTCAAGAGAAAAGGACCTGTTCTTAGTCATCTGTGAGGTGAGGATGATTAAATCTATGAGAAGATTGCACAACATACACAGAAAAGCATAGATGAACATAGCAAGTGCTGACAAATATTTATTGGCTAAAAGAATGGCTGAATGATTCAGTGGGTAGACAAGTAGCCCTTCAATTCCAACCTGGCTAGGAAAGTCGGTGTACTTTATACAGTGTTTCCATGATAGTATGGGATGGACCCAACTAAGCAGAAGGTCACAGGAAGAAGGGATGAAGATGGGTAGAACCAGACACTCAGATTCTGAAATGACGCTCATCTCAAAAAGGTTAATATTAATGGTTACAATGCACCTCAGTTCCTGTAAGCACTCTATAGAATATGAAACACTTCAGTATACTCTTGCACTTTGAATTCTCTCAAAGTTGTAGTTATTAATTTAAGACAACACAGTATTAAGAAAAGAAAGTATTGTAGGGTTCTGTTGGCTCATGCCTGTATTGCTTAGCAACTTGGGAGACTGAGCTCTGACGATTGTGGTTTGAAGCCACAGTCTGGGCTGGAAAGTCTGTGAGACTCATCTCTAATAAACTACTAAAAAGCAAAGCAAAACAAAACAATGACAAAAAACCCCCAAAGCCGAAAATGGAGCTGTGGCTCAAGTGGCAGAGCACTAGCCTTGAGCAGAAAAGCTCAAGGATAGTGCCCAGGCCCTGAGTTCAAGCTTCAGGACGAAAGAAAAAAGAAAGAAAGAAAGAAAGAAAGAAAGAAAGAAAGAAGGAAAGAAAGAAGGAAGGAAGGAAGGAAGGAAGGGAAGGAAGGAAGGAAGGAAGGAAGGAAGGAAGGAAGGAAGGAAGGAAGGAAGGAAGGAAGGAAGGGAAGGAAGGAAGGAAGGAAGGAAGGAAGGAAAGGAAGAAAGGAAGGAGGGAAGGAAGGAGGGAAGGAAGGAAGGAAGGAAGGAAAAGAAAGAAAGAAAGAGAGAAAGACAGAAAGGAAGGAAGGAAGAAAGGAAGGAAGGAAAAAAAGAATACTTATAATTTAGTGAACTTAAGTCATTTCCAGAGTGACTGAGTGGACCTTGACTTTGAATTCAATTCCAAAATTGTGTCCCACTATGGGACACCTGCATGTTAAGGCAGATGGAAGACAATAGAGTCTAAATTGGGAAAAGTGTCCATAAAGAAGAAAATATACTAGCTACTATTGTTGAGTGCTTGCTTTGGGATAATATACTGTACCAAATGGTTTCTCTGCATTATCTTGTTCATTCCTGACAATCAATGAAGTGTATTCTTTTATTATTTCTTTTGTGTGTGTCTCATAGATATATTTGCCTGGGATGGCTTTGAACTGAGATACTTAAATCTCAGCCTCTTGAGTAACTAGAACTACAGGCATGAGCCACTGATGCCTTTACAGATTCATCTAACAATCTTGTGACCTTGAGCTGAGTACTTAACCTCTCTGAGATCTAGCCCATAGTCTACAAGCTAAAATCTTTATTACGTTTTTTAAACTATGATTCAATGACAGAATTATTTACAAGGCTCAACAGACAATGCAGCTGTTGGTATTTTTACTGTTACTGCAACTGTTATTATTATTTATTTATTTTTTATTGTGACAATACTGTACAGAGGGGTTACAATTACATGAGCAAGATAATGAGTACATTTCTTATCAAGCATTGTAGCCTCCTCCTTTGTTTACCCTTCACATCCCATCCTCCCCCTCCCCCGCTCCCCCACCCAACCCTCCTCCTGTTATTATTTATTATTTACATTATTTTGGGTATTTTCTAGTGATGAGGGTACTGAGATTTGAACTCAGTCTCATGTTTACTAGGCAAGCATTCTACCAACTGAACGGCACCACTGTCTTTGCTACTATCATTTTCAACAACACTTTATTTTCTTGTGGTATCTAGTGGTAAAAAAGCAGTTAGATTTAAACTCAATTTTGTCAGATTCTAAAGTCCTTGTTTTTTTAAGCATTGTTGCCTCCTCCTTTGTTTCCCCTTCCCATCCCTTCCCATCCTTCCCCGCCCCCCCACCTAATCCTCCCTATCCCCCCCCACCCCCACCAAAGTTGTAAAGTTCATTTTCGACATAACGACTCATTGTTGCAATGGGTAAAGTCCTTGTTCTTATCGGACACATTCAACTGCCCATTTGTATAGCACTTCAGTTACCCTGGTTTGTGCTGTCATTTAATGATTCCAATGCACGTGTTGGCTTAGGTACTTCGACTTCTATCGGCTGTACAAATTCTACGATGACCTGATGCTCCTGAAGAACTACGAGCAGTGGAAGATGGGTTATGGCGATGGCAGTGGCAATACAGTGTACAATAACTTCATGTATTTTAACTACTATGGCACCAATGACATGGCCAAGGTGGATCTGTCCTCCAACACCCTGGTGCTGAGGCGTCCATTGCCTGGTGCCACCTACAATAACCGCTTCTCCTATGCTAGTGTGCCCTGGACGGGCTTAAATTTTGCTGGTGATGAGGAAGGGCTATGGGTGATCTATGCCACTGAGCACAGCAAAGGCAACCTTGTAATAAGTCGTCTCAATGCCAGCACCCTGGAAGTAGAGAAAACATGGCACACCAGCCAGTACAAGCCAGGCTTGTCAGGGGCCTTCATGGCCTGTGGGGTGCTGTATGCCTTACGCTCACTGAGCACTCGCCAGGAGGAGATCTTCTATGCATTTGACACCACCACAGGGCAGGAGCGCACTCTCAGCATCCTGTTGGACAAGATGTTGGAAACGCTGCATGGCATCAATTACTGCCCCTGGGACCACAAGCTCTATGTCTACAACGATGGCTTCCTAGTAACTTATGACCTCATCTTCCTGACTACGAAGTACCAGCTGCCCATAAGAGCAGCAGCCAAAAGGCTGTCTGGGGCTCATGCTCCACAAAAATCTATCAGACCCAGTAGGCCCTCCAGGCCCTGAGATTCCAGGGCTGGGACAGGGCCTTGACAGAAGTGTGTCCTTTCCCTCATTTCTATGAGGATCACTCCTGCAAATGGCCATGAACCTTAATGATTGTGAGACACTGATTCTCTCTAGTTAGCTCCTTAGGTCATTACTATCTCAACTCTCATATTAAGGTTCTCTTTAATAATCACCTGGGGGGCCGGGAAGGTGGCTCAGTGGTAGAGTGCTTGTCTTGCATGCATTAGGCCCTAGGTTCGAATCCTCAGCATCACATAAACAGAAAAAGCTGGAAGTGGCACTGCGGCTCAGGTGGTAGAGCGCTAGCCTTGAGCTGAAGAGCTGAGGGACAGCTCCTAGGCCCAGAGTTCAGGCCCCACGACTGACAAAAAAAAAAAAAATCACCTGGGAGGATTTGATTGAGAAATACAAGGTTATGCACCCCCAGCCCAGGGGGTAGGAGAAGAAATTATCCAACACCAAAATGACAAAGTAAGCTAGGGAAATGTTCCCCTTTCTTTTGGACATTTTTGGCAACTCATATTTCTCTCCTTTAAAGCTTTCAACATGTTTTCTAGGATTCTAGGGTCATATCCATAAAAATTCTGTGTCAAGTTGAGAGCATTGCATCTGATCTGTGAGCACTGATCACTAGCATGGGGCATGGATGTTTCCTCTTCACTCCTCACTTTCTTATGGAGTTCCTGGAGATCTTCTTGGTCTGAAGACCAATGCTTGATAGTTTGCAGTTAATATCTACTTTGAGTACAATGGAAGGAAGTGTTTAAGCCTGAATTCCTTTCTAGTGGCTGATAGGCAGGGATGTATGAGTAGGATATAGACTGGGCTGGAGGGAAGGGGACCCAAACATTCTCAATAAAGAATCCAGTGTTTGATTGCAGAAAGTCTCCTGTTAAACTATTTCTGCTTTTGTTGTTGTTCTTCTTCAACACCCTGAGAGCACAGAGGTTCAGACTGTTTGCCATGCCCCTTTTCTGTCTGCACAGGGTTTCTTGACCTTAATAAGGCAGGTAAACTGAATGCTGATGGCTCCTCCCTATTATCCTAGTTACTCAAGAGGCTGACATCTGAGCATCATCGTTCAAAGCCAGCCCAGGCAGGAAAGGCCGTGAGACTCTTATCTCCATCAAACTACTCAGAAAAAGCTGGAAGTGGCTCTGTGGCTCAAGTGGTAGAGAGCCAGCCTTGAGCAAAAGAAGCTCAGGGGCAGTGCTCAGACCCTAAGTTCAAGCTTCAGGATGGGTACAAATAAGAAAAGAAAAGAAAACAGAAACAGCAGGTAAATGAAATATATATATATAAGGACCCTGAAATCCTTTCAGTCACAGAGAACACATGCCTCAAGGAGACACACATTCACAAATCAATACCCAATAAAACAAATACTCTCTCTCTCTGGCACATACAATTCTTCTGTTTTCATACAAACATCAACACAGATAAATTAACATACTATTAATAAGTCATCAGCTTCCCACCAGCTTCAAACACTTGCTTCAAGCTTCAAGTTTTCAGGGTACTGGCAATCTGACTTTGTAGTTTCCTGATTCTGTTGTCCTCCCCCTCTTCCCCTGTCCTCCCCTCCCCCCTCTCCCTCCCCCCCCCCCCCCCCCCCCCCGCAACTATACTAGTAACACTGCCACTCCTACCTCTTGATTTACAAGAGTCTCTTCCCTTTAATGTTTTGACATAAAGGTGAACATTTAAGACTGAACAGGGACATTGCAACAATAAAATAATTCTGAACGTCCTGTTAGGATGTCAAGCAGAAAACACCACACTGTATGTGAAATATGTGAAGAAAAAAAAGTGTTGCAGCTAGGCTCTGGTGGCTCACACCAGTTATCTTCCCTACTCAGGAGGTTGATATCTGAGAATCATTGATGGAAGTCAGCTTAGGTAGGAAAGTCTGTAAGACTCTTCAATGAACTAGCAAAAGTCTAGCATTGGAGGTATTCAAGTTGTAGAGTACCAGCCTTAAGCAGAAAAAGCCAAGCAAGAGTGCCCTGAGTTCAAACCCTAGTATGGGCATACACACACGTGCACCTGCACACACACACACACACACACACACACACACACACACACACACACACACCCCATGTGTGTTGTTGCAATTAACTCTCTCACCTTTACTCAGGGTGCCCTTGGAACCTCTCTGGCTATCCCTAATCCTGTTTGGACTTACACAAGGGAACACTCTCAAAGAAGTCTAGAATCCACCAATCTAGTACCCAGAGGAAAACGTGACTTTGGTTTCCACATGACCGTTTGTTATTTATTTTCTAGAATTTACCTTTTCCAGACCACAAGCAGATCAAACCAACTCCATTCTGTGGTACAGGCTTTATTCTTACTCTCAGAAATGTGTGTGTGTGTGTGTGTGTGTGTGTGTGTGTTGTGTTGGTCTTGAGGGCTTGAACTCAGCCTGAGCATTGTTCTTGAGCTTTTGTTCCTCCAGTCTAGTGCTCTACCACTTCCAGCTTTATTTTTTGTTTATTTATTTATTTATTGGTGTTTAATTGGGAGATAAGAGTTTCAGGACTTTCCTGTCTAGGCTGGCTTCGAACCGTGATTCTCAGATCTCAGCCTCCCGAGGCTCACAGATGTATGCCACCGGTGGCCAGCGATCCAACATTTTATGCAATAGGCTTGACACTTCTATATAGGGCCTATGCTTGGCACAGCAACACACATCCCACATTAACAGAAAAGATCTGGTTATTCTTATTATTTTTGATGACTGGAAAACAGTCCTATTTTATTCATGGAAACTTCAACCTCCTCCTCAAATCTGTCTCCCTCCCCGGCTTGTCCTGATGGACTATGAGCCTTAAATTGACATCACAATATCCTCTTTCTGAACAGGCACTGCCCCTTACGGGCGGGGCAGGAGCAGAGAAGGTCAACACTTAGTCCACCCTGTGCCAAGTATGAATCAGTAGCCACGCCAGGTCTCAGCAGGGCCACATGTGGAGAACTGGGGGTGAGGGGACAACATCACAAATTCCTGACCCCCAGCCTGGTCACTCATCTTTTTCCATGGCAACAAGAAAGCGAAGGCCTGCAGGAACATTTGTCCCCACTCATCCCACTGCCCCTGCTTCTACCTGCTTGCCATCAGCCTGTCCAGTAGGAAGGTCCATGCCTCATGCTGTTATTCGCTCGCCCAGGGTGCCCCAGAACAGGCAACCTTGTGCTTTGCCTGCCAACAAGAAGATCGGCCCAAGTGTCTCCCGAGTGAAAGTGAATACGGCAGGCAACCTGAAAGATTTCACTTTAGCTGACAACACCTCAGTAAAGCAGCTCAAGGAGAAGCTGTCAGCTCACTTCAATTGCAGGACGGACCAAATAGTGCTGGTCTTCATGGGTCGTCTCCTCAAAGACCAAGACACACTGAGTCAGAGGGGCATCGCAGATGGCCACACCATCCACCTGGTGATCAAGTCCAAGAATGGCTCCAGATCCCTAACCAATCCCTCTCAGATTTTGCCAACCAAGGAGCCCTGCCACCGGGACAGAAACACCACAGAAAAAAGCAAGGAGGGGAACCAACCAGCTGGCGTGAGTCAAGTCCCAGTAGAACCAGCTCTCCCTGTGGAATCTATCCCAGTAGAACCAGCTCTCCCTGTGGAATCTAATGCATCCAAGGTGCAGAATCTGGAAGTAGACAATTCACAAAATCTAACACAGGTTCTAGCAAATCCCAGCATCCAGTACCTTCTGTCCAATACGGAGTTCATACAGCAGCTCATCTCAGGCCACTCAGACATGCTACTACTGATGCAGCAGAACCCAGAAATCTCCCATGTCCTTGACAATTCTGAGGTCCTAGGTCAGACTCTTGGGCTGGCTCGGAACCTGGCGGTGATGCAAGAGGTAATGCAGCTTCATCAACCTGCACGGAACCTTCAGCATCCACTAAACCTACCACCATACCTGGGCTCAGAGACAATTCCAAATAGGATCAACGTACTGGATCCCACTTATGCTAATTTCCATGACCAAATGCTCCACAGCACACAAGATCCTTTTGGAGGTAACTCTTTTATAGCTCTCCTAGCAGACCAAGTGCAGGAACAAGTCCAGCCAACATCCTTACCACCTCGACCATTCCAGGAACAACGAGACCCTAGGACACCAATCAACCATATGAATCCTTCTGGTATATCTTCAATTGCTTCAACCCAAACCAACTTTAACAGGATCCATTCTACATCTAGGGTGAATACTGGTATGATCAAGGACCAAAGCCATGTAAGTGGCATCCAGCATTCAGCTAGGATACCATCCCTACCAAGCATATCCATTACCCAGAAGCCCCAGGAAGCTGGCACAAATGCCTCTGGCTTGGGTCAGAAGTTAGAAGGGCTCCAGATGTTGGATGACCAGACCAAGACCCAGATTACAGGAGGCATGATACAGTTGCTTATGAACCACCCTCACCTGGCTGCTCAGATGATGCTGTTCTTGAGTATGCCCCAGCTGAGTGAACTCTGGAGGCAGCAGCTGCCCACATTCTTGCAACAGTCACAGACTTCAAATCTGCTCGTAGCTCTAGCAAACCCTAAGGCATCACAAGCAATATTACAGATCGAACAGGGACTCCAGCTGCTGGCCACAGAGACTCCTATTCTTTTGCCCTGGGTTGCACCTTACCTTTGGGGTCTGGGTTGGCTTCCTGCTCCTAGCTGTAGCTACCCAGACACAGAGCCCTGGCCTTGGAATGTGCCAGAGACTGCCGAGCCCAAGAATCCTGAGTGTTGCCCCAGGCATGAAGCAGTCCTGCAGAGCCTACAATCCCTCTCTGGAGACCCTTCCCATCCTGTACAAGGCCCTGAAAATAATTTCAGAAAGCAGATGGAAATCCTCCAGGCCATGGGATTTGCAAATCACCATGCCAACTTACAAGCACTTATTGCTAACAAGGGTGACACTAATGCTGCTATTCGCCAACTCAAGAGGTCCCAGTGATTCTAACCACCACACCCACCTGT